TTTTAATTTAAAAATATATATATATATATTTTATTGATCTTCCACAGAGAGGAAGGGAGAGGGATAGGGAGCCAGAAACATCGACGAGAGAGAGACATCGATCAGCTGCCTCCTGCACACTCCCCACTGGGCACGTGCCTGCAACCAAGGTACATGCCCCTGACCGGAATCGAACCTGGGACCCTTGAGTCTGCAGGCCGACGCTCCATCCACTGAGCCAAACCGGTTGGGGCCAAAATCTGCATTATTAACATAGCCTTCATCATTATCTTAAGTCTAGACCATGGGTTGGTAAACTTTCTTAAAGGTCCAGACAGTAAATATTTTAGGCTTGTGAGGCCTTTCGTTTCTGTTCCAATGAGGCATCTCTGTCATGGTAATGAAAAGCAGTCAAAGCCAACTCAGAAATGAATGGCATGTCAATGTTCCAATAAAACTTTATTTTCAAAAACAGGTGGCCAGCCCACAGGCCATAGTATACCAACTTCTGGTCTAAACAATAAACAACAACAACAACAACAAAATAAGTCAAGTCTTGATTTAACATTTCCAGATTTCCATGGTGTAAATACTTCCACCACAATCAACTTCAGGGTACCAATGGGATGTCACTAAAGTCAGAGTTGTATCTGTATTTTATTGTATTTGTATATTGTATCTGCATTTCTACCATACAGATACAATAGATATTCATAACTTAAGAGTATAGACATATATAATCTAAATGTGTAGATTACAGTATAGTAATTAGCTGATCAGTTGAGTACTTTTTACCATTGTTTTTAATATAATTTAATGCTTATTTTTTTGTAATTTATTTCATTGTAAGTTTATATAATCTAATTTTTAATAATTATTATATTTAAAAACCAGGAAGAGGATCTTTTCAGAATCTTCCTAAGTCAAGGAATCATAAGAAAGGGATCCTTTAACCAGGTAATGAATCAGAAATAGAGTCTGGTTTATCAAACGCTTACCTTTCATTCTTTGTAGAAGGGTTCCATAGCCCAAGTCATACTGGTAGGTGAGGACAAAGCCTAATGGAATGATAGGGAAGAGGAAGGCTGGCTTCTTCCTTTTTATTGCTCTGGTTCAAGAACAAAGAAAAATAAATATCAAGAAATGATCAGTAAATACATATCTTTATACTCGATGAAAAAAAATTTACCTGCTTTTTGAAAGAATGTCCTTTATTTCAAAAGTTACTTAATTCATTTGCATCTTCTTTGAAAATAGGATTTCCTTACCCATAACCCCTCACCAGATTCTACAGTTCTCCAGGACAGGCAGGGTCTATGAATTACTCATTTGTATTTGATGTTGAGGCTCAGATTACTCATTTTATAAATAGTGAAGTGTTCATATCTACCATTTAAGGCTTGTGGAGATAAACTTGTAGAAGCCTCCTGTCTCGGTGCCAAGTTAGTTCTCTAACTTGTAAAATGGAGAAAAGAACAGAGGCAATCTAATAAACTAAAGGCAGAATTAACTATTGCTACCCTGTTTCTACAGAATTACCTCCGAGGATTAAGCTATAATGGATTACTTTGTTTACATGCACAGTATTTGGACCAAAGTCCTGTCTTGGCCAACTGAATAATAATATGATAATGGCAAAGACAAAATAAATAAATTATTTAAGAAAATTTTAAAGTAAATAACAAACATACCCAGCTGTTAAAGAGATGGCTGCAATGGCAAAAAATGTTCCAAAATATTTGAGGAATTCCCGAGACCAAGCAACTTGCATGGCCATTTGTCTTTCTCTCATTTCGTTCTGCATCATTAGCTGTCTTTCCAGCTGAAGATAAAAAAAAAAAAAAAAAAGAAAAAAAAAAAAAAAAGGAAGAAAAAGAGAAAGTATGGTTATTCCCCTTTTGAACCTGAGCAGAGTAAATAATCTGCTTTTCCAGTGAAGTTTCATTCTTCAATTGCTTTGATTCATCTTTTTTTTTTTTTAAATTCTCAATAGACTTTTACTAATGTCCCTCTGGACAGCTATCCCCAACTCTTACTTTGTCAGTGAAATATATACAGAGTAGATATGATATTCTTTTTCTATGTCTTGAGGTATTGAACACAGGTGGTTTGAAGCTTTTATCCAAGCCTAACATATATGGTTAGCATATTATATCACATGTGAGGAAAGATCTACATGTAAGAGTTGGTGTTTCTATCTCTCTCTCCCTCTCACTTCCTCTCTGAGATCAATAAAAATACATGAAAGGCGTTCCACCTCTGAAACAATGTTTACTTTATAAAAAAAAAGATTTGATCATTCTTTGTCAAAGTAAAAAATCTCGTGGAATGTGTTGATCTCCCCTGGACTATTATGGCTGCCAGCAATTTTAGAATTTCCTGGCTTGTGATGCATCACTTTAATCTCTGCCTTCATTCTCACACAGCCTTCCTCTCTGTAAGAATTCTAGCTACTTTAATAGACAGTTGTCTAAAAGCTATAATATACTGCTGCCTTCATTATAGGATATAGCAAATAAAAATTGTTTGGTTGTTTTATTTATAAATTTAATTAAATAGTTGTCATATACAAGGTGGGGCAAAAGTAGGTTTACAGCTTTTCGTATGGAAAATAATATAACAATAAATAATAATAGAAGAATAATCTCTGTTTTGTGTACTCATAGCTATAAACCTACTTTTGCCCAACCTATTCCTCTTCCAGGAAGGAGTGGAGGTAGTTTGAACATAAGGAAACTTCTTTTTATAGAGACAGAGAGTCATCGTTAGCTCTCCCACACTGTCATGCAGTGGTGCTGTCAGAGCTCACCGGATGGTCCCAGGCCTCTGTGTCCATTTTCTGTCTCCTCCTCTGTCACGCTGTTATTTCTCACTCTTAGCAATAAATCCTTCTCTAAGGACCAATCTCTCCTGACTTCCCTTCTTCCTCTGTCTCTTCCTCTCGATCTCTCAATGATCTGTTGCTTTTGATTGTCTAGGGCAGTGGTCAGCAAACCGCGGCTCGAGAGCCACATGCGGCTCTTTGGCCCCTTGAGTGTGGCTCTTCCACAAAATACCATGTGCGGGCGCACACAGTGCGATTGAAACTTTGTGGCCCATGTGCGGAAGTTGGTTTTCGGCCTGGGCGAGTCTATTTTGAAGAAGTGGCGTTAGAAGAAGTGGGGGTACGTTTGCTGAGGTCGAGCCCTCAGATTGAGGACGTTTTTAGCAAAGGCCAGCTTAGGAGTACCCTAATTAAGTTAATAACAATGTACCTACCTATATAGTTTAAGTTTAAAAAATTTGGCTCTCAAAAGAAATTTCAATTGTTGTACTGTTGATATTTGGCTCTGTTGACTAATGAGTTTGCTGACCACTGGTCTAGGGCAGTGAAAGAACAAACCTTTTTAGAACTGTGTATAAAATTAAAGTACCTAGTTCCTAATGAGGACCGGGAAGCCGGTGCTTCCTATGAATATGTTGCATACATTTTAGAACAAGGCCGTGTTATAATTATTTGGTTCTTTTGTCTTTAAGTATTTTTTTCTTGCTTCCTCATCATGTTCCAGATAAGAGGTGTCAGTGATATGACTTTGGTCTAATGAGATGTCATTACAGTTAAAATGAAATGGAGAGTAATATTGTTTATATCATTTATAATAATAGCCAGAAAATTAAAGTACTTACTTGCAAAAGAGAAGTAAAACAAAAAGACAAAACTAAACACAACTGACTATAACTATGAGAATGTTCTTTATTTAGTTTCCCTTCTGTCTTCTTAGTGAGTTATGCTTTTCTGGTCCTACATTTCTATATCTTCATGCAATCCTGAAAACAAAAGGTTTTTATTCAACAAAAAGTACTTTTTGTACTTCCATGTGGTTTTGTTACATTCAGAAATGTTCTGAATATAAAATAATTCCTCAAAAAATGCTTTAAAAGATGGAGGAATCCTAAGCAAGAAACTAGTAAGGGGGATTAAAGGCCATGTTGAGCAAAGGCCATTCCACCTGGTTGACAGGAATTATTTTTTCTTATTTTTAAATTTGCTTGACAAACTGATTCTAAAATTCCCTGGGAGTAGAAAATATGCTACAATATGGATGAACCTCAAAAATATTATGCTAAGTAAAATAAACCAGACAAAAAAGACTACATATTTTATGATTCCATTTATGTCCAGAAAAGGCAAATGTACAAAGATAGAAAATAGATTAGTGATTTCCTAGGTATAGGGCCAAAATCAAAGATATACCGTAAATGAGCACAAAGGAATCTTGGGAGATGATGGAAATATTCTAAAACTGGATTATGGTGATGGTTGCACAACTCTATAAATGTACTAAGAATCATGGAATTTTACCCTTACAATGGGTGGATTTTATACTATGTAAATTATACCTCAACAAAAGTGTTTTAAAAACTAGAAGTGGGACAGAGTACCCTTTCAGCATCAGTCATAATAGGTAAATAACAGTATGTTTATTTTAAATCACTATGAAAAATAAGAACTATCTGTGGTATAGTTCCCTGACCATACAATTATTCCAGGTCTTTCAGGTCCACTTTCTACAATTGTTCAAAAACATCTGGACCATTAGGTAAGAAATAATTTTATTCAGATGTAAAGACTTTGTAACTTTATAATAAAACATTCCATCTTTATATTTATCAAAGAGAGAAGGAAAGACTGTTTAGCATTATATATATTCCTTTTCATAAATAATTACTTTTAAGCTTCATAATCATTATTTTTTTTATTCTCATAATAAAATTACACTACCAGAATTTTCTTTGCATTGGTAGGAGGTGGGAGGAAACTGATTTCTCTCTGTAAATGTTTCTTTTTTTCCTTCAAGCTTCCCTAATCCTAATGCTAATATCACCTTCCATGGGTATTAGAAGTTACTGCCCTAAAGAGGTACAATCTACACCAAAGCAAAGTTTTGGTCAAGAGGGTGGGTTGAACTGATCTGTCTTCCTACAGGGGTGGGGAACCTTTTTTCTACCAAGGGCCATTTGAATATTTATAACATCCTTCTCTTAATATAATTGACTTAATATAAATTTATGTTGCTGTGAAAAAAGCTCCCAGATTTATTGAATTTCGAGTCCTACCTGCAGTTGCCTTGGCAGGGCCAGACCAAATGATTTTGTGGCCCTTATATGGCCTGCAGGCCAGATGTTACCCACTCCTGCTTTAAAACATTGCTCAAATGTCAACCCATCATCTCTTTTGGAAAGTATTTTGGGAGTTCAGCTTGGATGGTTATTAATCTGTACATTTTTTTTTATTTAGAAGAAAATACATTTATACAGTAGCTAAAATCAGAACCTAGTTAACATCAAAAACTTAATCTAGTGATATAAAGATTGTTATTAAGAAGAATTCCTAGGGCAGGTCATCTCCAATTCTAATTAATTTTAGCCAAGCATTTAACTTAGAAATTTCTTATTTAAACCTGATTTCAGTATAAAAGCCAAAGTAGATTATGGAAAGAATTCATCATTTATCCATTTCTGGGAAGTAATAATTCCACTATCCATGTTCACATGTGATTTCAAAAATAAAATATCATCTCATTATTATAAGGAAATAACCATTACAGTGGGGCCTTGACTTACGAGTTTAATTTGTTCCGTGATGGAGCTCATAACTCAAATTACTTGTATATCAAATCACTGTGACGTTCGCTGCGCCAACTAGCGGTGGGGTATCTGAAGCTGGCTCGTAACCCGAATTTTTTTGAGCTTGCAACTCAAAGCAAAAGATCAGCCGAGAGACGGCTCGTATCTCAAAAAAACTCGTTAGTTGGGACACTAGTAAGTCGAGGCCCCACTGTAATTCCTGATGGAAAAATAATTATTTTTACATTCTGTCTTGTTCTGACTTGTATGAGTCTAAGACTTGTATAGAAAGATAAGTCTGACCCAATCATAACCAATAAATTTTAGATTTGTTGCTGTTTAATTCCTATAGTGACATTCATTCCTCCTTCACTACAATCCTATATAATAAACAGCTAATATGCTAATTAGACCAAATGGCAGAACGACCATCCGGATGAAGCTGGGGCTGTGAGGGCCGAGCCCCTTGCACAAATTTCATGCATCGTGCCTCTAGTGCTAAATAAAAACCCAAACTGAATTGCCACAAATAAGAAAAGTCAAACTGAGAAACATAAATGTAATTATGTTTTATGTAATTAAATGGAATGACATACATTGAGAAACTTAAATGTAATTAAGTTTTATGTCAAAATTTTCTTTTATAATCCTGATTTTTTTCTTAATAAGAAAGGGGTACATTTTAAAAAAATATATTTTAAAATATTTTTTATTGATTTTTTTACAGAGGGAAGGGAGAGGGACAGAGAGTCAGAAATATCGATGAGAGAGAAACATCGATCAGCTGCCTCCTGCACACACCCTACTGGGGATGTGCCTGCAATCACAGTACATGCCCTTGACCGGAATCGAACCTGGGACCCTTCAGTCCACAGGCCGACGCTCTATCCACTGAGCCAAACTGGTTAGGGCAAGGGGTAAATTTTTTATTATGGGCTGTCTATTCACACTGACTTCTTGTACTGAAAACTAAAGACTAATTTGATAGTACTGACAAGCAAGCTAAGATATGAAGTATTAAAAACAATAGTGGCTCAGTTTCAGCCCTTGTTGGGCAGGGGCTGAAAAGAGAGCATGATGGAAAGGGAAAAGTGCGAGCATTCATGAATGATAGAAACTAGCATCATTGACAGTCTGGAAGAAGATACCACTTCCTATTAAATCAAACAGAAAATGAATTTCAGGTGAATCAAAGCCCTAAATGTACCAAATGAA